CTCTCATTCATGTTGCTCGCTATGCACAAGTCTGTTGCTAAATGATGCTTTTATCCACAAATGACATCATGATTTTAGGCCTATTAGCAGCTGTTCTCCAGCAGCTGCCTCCAGAAGCCCCAGCCCAGGTGGGTGCCAGGCTAACTTTCCTCTCTCAAGATCTGCCTATTAACATTTCACACAAACTGGAGCCCAACACACATGGCCTCTTAGCTGGCTGCCCTTATACACCATGATGTTGTAAAGGTTTGCTTATGTAACCTCCATCAAGATTTTACAGCTCCTTTTGCTGGATAACAACTCACTGTTGTTACTTACATAGATACATCTATGATGCATCTGGTTTACTCTTCGTCAGGTGGGACACCTTTGAGTGACATCATGTACAGCGTGAGAGTGATAGCCGGTGAGCGGGGTTTCTGTGGGTGCAGTGCTCATTTCTCTTGGGCACAAACTACAAGTGAGACCACTGAGTCACATGGTAACTCTGTGCTTAACTTTGTAAGGAATTACCAAAGGTTTCCAAAGCAGCTGCACCATGTTGTATTTCTACCAGCAATGCCCAGGGGTTCCAGTCTCTTCATAGCCTCATCAACACTTCTTACTATCAAAACTTTTATTATAACCATCTAAATCAATACAAGGCAGCATCTGATTACAGTGGAAGTTATGTTTTCAGAGTTCCTTTATCTGTAATCATGTGGGAGGAGGTATGCACATCTGAGCACGGGTGCCCATGGAGGCTAGAGAAGGGCTCCATTCCCTGCACTAGAGTGTGGGTAGCTGTGCGCTGCCTGGCGTGGGCACTGGGAACCGCTCTGGAGGAACAGCACTTGTAAGCACCCTCCCATCTCTCCTGCCCCTTCTGCTGTTTTGATTTATATTTTCTAGTAACTAATGATGCTAAACCTGCTTTGTGGACTTGCTGATCATCTGGACTCAAATCTTTTGCCTGTGCTTTGAGTTACACTTACAGTGTTGACTCAAAGCTCCTCCTTTTTTCACACTTTGTCTCCTAGGACAGCACATTCTCCATTAGTTGTTGACCTAGGCCAATCTCCTTGGTTCCTCTTCCTCTGACTTCTCACAAGACTCAGCCCTTGGTTCCTTTCTCTTCTGACTTTCATCCAGTTTCATAGTTTAATACCATCTTTATGTTCTCAATTTCTCACCAGCAATCTCAGACAATGGATTGGAAGAAGCAGCCTCTGCCCTCAAATGATCAACCTCTACTAGAAGGATAAAGAGAAATTCATTCTGTTCCTATAGACAGTGGTACCAAACCAGAGACTTGAGTGCTGAGTTAACCACACAGATCGGAACAGTACTGCAAGACTCTGAGACCCGCGACTGACACCACAGCTCACAGAGGCAGCAGGACCCACACCACAGCCAAGAGGAATGCTAAGAGAAGACTTCGATAGAACCTACCATACGTCTTCTACCGTAAGGTTCAGAAGATCTAGAATCCAGCAGAAAGTACTCCACACAGCAGGGAAAACCAGCACTTGAAAAGACAGCGAGACAAAGATGAGAAATTCTTTATGGCAACGGCCACACAGGGCACCAGTAAACAACCGTAAGAACTCTGAAACAAGCGCAAAGCCCCATGAATAAATAAAGCACATAACGAAGAACAAGTAAAGGGCACTGAAAAGCACAGGAGGCAAAAGTTAGAATCTTCTGTGTGGGCCTGAGAGCATATAGAGGCAGAATACAAAATAAACTGTGGGCTTGAACACAGAACAATACAAATTGTCCCATCCAACAAAGAAAAACCAATCAACTGGAAAATAAAGATGAACATAGTGGCAGGGAACTGGGAAACAGTCATGAAAGAGCCAACGTTTGGGGCTGGGGAGGCAACTCGGCGCTTAAGAGGACTTGCCACTCTTCTAGAGGAATCAAGTTTGGTTCTCAGCTTTCATGTCCAGGGGCTCACAACAGCCTGTGCCTCCAGCTCCTGAGGGGAAGGGGGTCTGACCTGTGCAGACACCTGTAGCCATGTGGTGAACACTCATACCGGCACGAATACACACACACACATACATACACACAATGGTTTGAAATGTCCAAAGTTGATGGAAAGCTAAATCACAGGTTCAAGAAGCTGCATGTGAGAAGCCAGAATGGGATAAGACTAAATCAATCTACACAGCACTGACAGACCTCCAGACCCAGAGCACCAGATGTGTGGACTTCCCATGGCTGTTTCTGTCAACAGTGGTGCTCGGGAGTCTAGGGAATCATCCTTGAGTCCTCTCTGTCTCTAACTCCACTTCAATTCACTATAAAATCACCGCAGCTTTGTTGTCTAAGTTTAGCTAGCATCCGATCGCTCACTTCCATGGCTACTACCAGCATCAACCATCTCCCAGTCAGCTCCTTATACCCATCTACAGACACCCAAAGAAATGACTTTGAGATACAGAGCAGAAAACATCCATCCTGGACTCAAAACCCCCAACTGACTGTTTCATTTCCAAGTCACCCTATGGCTTGTTCTTCTTTGACCTCTTCCTCTGCTGCCACCTCCCCACTCCTGCTTTTTCTATAAGCTCTGTCTTAGGGGGTTTGCAGAACTGTTTACTTTGTCTGGGTGGCAGGCATCGATGTGGATGACTAAGTCCTCCACATGCTTCAGGACTTGTCTTCAAGGCAAGCTTCGGCTGTCCATTCTCAATAACCTCTGCTCTGAACAGTTGAAGAAAGGCTGCAGCTACAAATGTCCCATACTCACCATAGCCTTAGTCTACTTCAGCCCTCCATTGCCCGTTCCAGTGTCAAACACGCTGCATGAGTTTATTACGTATACATTTAGTATCTGTGACATATCCCAGGTCCCTGCTGGAGTGTCCGGCACATGGAAGAAAGGTAATAAATAAATTCTTAAAGGAATAATATGAACTTCCTTCTCTGAAAGGGAGAATAAGTTGTATTCATTTTCTACTTGGGCATAAAAGACTTAAAGCTTAATGTCTTAAAATAACACATTTATTATCTCAAAGTATTGGCTAAGAGTGCGGCTCAGGCTTGGCCAAGTTCTCTGCCCAACATCAAAAGTGCAATCAAGCTGTCAGGCTGGATGCCACTCTGTCGGCTGTTGGCTGGGGGCACCCTCAGCTCCTGGAACCCAGTTTCAGATCCTTGCCCACAGCTTCCTCTAAGGGAAATTCACAACCTGACAGCATTTGTGTTTCAGGCCAGTGGGAGAGTCTCTCACAGGATAAACGTGTCCCATCAGAAAGGGCAGTCCCATTGGGCGCTTCATTCATCAGAGAAAACCTCCCCATTTAAATCAACTGGCTTATGAGACCATAAACACATTCACAAAAATTCCTCATGCTTGTCACATGATGCCACCTAATATGGCAGTCACATCTTTGACAGTCAAGATGCTGCCTTGCTCAGGGGGATTGATCGTGTGTTATACGCACCAGGGGCAGCCATCTTGGGAACTTCATAGCCTAGACAAAAGGACAGACCTCAAGTTGCCAGTTGGCCAAATAAGGCCCCAGATTATGGTAGTCATTATCCAGTGAATCAGAATCTCCAGGAAGAAGAATGCAATAAAAACCCACTTACCACCCTCAGATATTTGACGGCACTATCCACAACAGCCCCAGATTGGAAGTAGCCCAAGTAGCCATCAAAAGGGACACAGGAAGTTGGGTAGAGAAGCATGGAAAGCGGCCCTTCCAGCCCGGAAGAGGGAGGAAATGCTGACAATGGTGCAAAAGCTTGAAAGCTTAAGTTAATGGAAATGTGAACCACAAAAGGGCAAATATTATATTTTACTTATGTGACATCCCTGTAAGTCCCGGTCTCTGGCCTCCATCTTTGGAGGCCCTGCCCCTATGCCTACCAAGCCTTGACCCCTCCTGGGAGGGATGTCAAAGTGATCCACCAAGCCTTGGCCCCTTCCCCGGGAGGAGGGACAAGGCAGTCAGCCCAAACCTTGACCACTCCCTCCCCCAGTCTATTTAAACTGCTACTCCGAGAGTAGCATGGTTTCCTCCCCGCCCCGCCCCCCCCCCCCACACACACGGTGGCTGCATTCACGGCTTTCTGGGGCCACACGAAGCGCAGGAATCCCATTAAACCTGGATGTTTTTTTAATTCGGCTCCTTGTCATTTAGCTTGATTGGGATTTTTGTGTTGGCAGAGAGCTCGCATTAGGAAAAATTCCTAACAATTTCTAGAGAGATCAGTCCCCAGAAAATAGCACAATGACTGTGTGGAGTGCAGGAGAGGGGGCCTAGGTGGAGAGTTTCAGCTTTACAAGATAAAGAGGTAATGACTATGGAAGGTGATGGTGATTGCACAGCAATGTCAAGGTATTAATGCCACTGAGCAGTACCTGAAAGTGTGAAAATGGTAATTTATATTTGCATTATGCCACAATTAAAATAACTTATTATTATTCTTTATTAGAATATGTTTGCAATGTAACTATTCACAACTATATATGTGTGTGTATGCATGTAGTGTGTGTGTGAGTGTATGTATACATACGCGTGCTCTCGTGTGTGGAGACCAGAGCTCAATACTGGGCTTCTTCCTCAATCATTCTCCAGCTTGTTTTTTGAGGCAGGGTCTCTCACTGAACCTGGAGCTCTCTGATTTGCCTAGGTCAGCTGGTCAGCATACCCCGGGTCCTCCAGTACCCACCTCCCCAGGGCTGGGATTACAGCCTGCCCCCAGTCCTGGCTTTTCATCGATTCTAAGGGCCTGAACTCAGGTCCTCATATTCGCGCAGCAAGCACTTTACCAACTGAGCTATCTCTCTGATCCCCACCACTGTGTTCTAAACTTCACTGATAGACAAGGTTGAGGAGCTTCACTGGCTCACGCTCATCTGGGTTTTAAAAGAAGCAATACCCATGTCCTCAGTTGAAAACAATGAAGGGATTAAAACTAAAGTTTATTTTGACAATAATTTTGTCATGTCAGAAATCATCACAGAAACAGTGATTGTTCTAATGAATGACAAAACTCACCTGACCCAGATCCAAGGTGAGGTTGACTTGGTTGTACTGAGTGCCTGAAGAGAGTGGAGGGCTTTGCCACCAGCGTTCAGATCCATCAATCGCGTGGATGGCAGGATGTGCCTTCCTGGAATCCTCAGAATTGCAATAGTCACAGAACTGGCCCTGGGGAGGAGAAAGGCCTTTTTAAAATTTTCAAGGAAAGTTTTTGTATCAGCTTAGCAAAAGAAACGGCCAATGCAAGACTGCCGTCTCCTAGGCCAGAGGATGACCTTAGGCAATTGTTTCTCATTCCACCTTCATATAGATTTCAGGAATCAGACTCAGGTTGCCAGGCTTGAGCAGTGAGGGCCTTCCTCGTGGGGGAAAGCTTTTGCTATTGATTAAAGCTTTTGAGTTTTGGAGTGTTCATTATTAATATTATTATTACTATCAAAAGATTCATAATTGAACAGAGAACATAATATCCTTAAATTTCCAAAGTGTACACCAAATCCTCTTACAGCTTCAAAAGAAGTACAATAATTCAATAGAAAAATGGACAAAAACACCCCAGGCCACTCACAGAGGAGGCAGTGAAAGCTCGGAGTGTGTCCACAATCACCGTCATTCACAGTTCCAGCAGACTATCTGCAACAGCACTGCACACACAGTCTACCCAGATCTAAAGTGTGTCGCAATAAGTATTAGAAAGGGCATACTAGGAGCATAAATCACTGTAAGAACTTCAGAAGCCACTTTGGCATCACTGCTAGAGTAAATTCACACTTAGAACATAACAATACAATACCTGAGCTAAGAACTCAAAAGAGAATGCCTTGAAAAATTTTGATGGCATCAGATGGCAGCCTCTTGACAACAGCAAAGTCCCGAGACTAACCTAACTGCCTGGCTACAGGCAAGCAGGTAATGCAAGAATGGCATGGTCACTCCAAAAGTGGCTACGTGAACAACGATGAATAAATGAATAATAGTGGAATTTTGGAAGTACATTAGTACATTAGCATAAAATTAAAAGCAACCCATAATAAAAGCATTTACTCTTTAGAAATTATATGGATATAATAAAAACTATCTCAAAGAAGCAACTGACTGTGGATGTGTATGCTTGTAATTATAACCCTTGGGAAGCTGTGTGTGGTGTTTTGAATGTAATTGGCTCCCATAACTCATAGGGAGTGACACTATTAGGAGCTGTGGCCTTGTTAGAGGAAGTGTGTCATTGTGGAGACAGGCTCTGAAGTTTTCTCTGCTCAAGAACCACCAAGTGTCTTTTCCACTTCAATGACCTGCATATCAAGATGTAGCCAGCACCATGTCTGCCTGCATGCTGCCATGCTTCCTGTTCTGATGATAATGGACTAGACCTCTGAAATGGAAGCCACCACCTCAATTAAATGGCTTCATTTATAAGAGTTGCTATGGTCATGGTGTCTCTTCACAGCAACAGAAAGTCTAAGACACTGTGGCACAAACCTCATGAGTTTGAGGCCCTGCCTCAAAAAAAAAGAGATAGAAGGAAAAGGAGGGAAACAAAACAATAATTAATAAAGGGTTCAGGATGGTGGTTTCCTCTAGTGACTAGAGACGTTGGAAACAGGGACACACATGCTACCACGTGGGTGAACATTTAGGCTCTACTTTTGGTTTTGTAGAAAGTTCATGCAAGTTTACTTTAGTATTAAACTATCACATGCACACACACACACACACACACACACACACACACACCATGAAAGGATCATAGGTGCATGTCATAAATCGAAGATAATGAAAGATCCTTAATCAAACCCTGCATTTGAACTCCAATATTTTTAACAACCATAAATAAGTCAAGTGAAAGTCAGGATAAAAGGAGCACAAAGAGGAAAAATGCTTCCATATACATACAGCAAACTGTCACAGACACACTGCACCAGAAGTTTCCAGCGTGCAAAGATCACCAGGACAAAAGACTCCCTCTGGATTGTGCTGAGGCTGTTTGGTGGGGGAGAACTGTCTATATTCTGTCAATCATGTTTTAAATAAATGCTGATTGGCCAGGCAGGAAGTATAGGCGGGTCAACCAGACAGGAAGTAGAGGCAGGGCGATGAGAACAGGAGAATGCTGGGAAGGAGGAAGCCCATTCCTCCCAGTCCTGTTCAGACCACGGAAGAAGCAGGATATGATCTGCCCCACTGAAAAAGGTACCGAGGTATATGTGGCTAACATATACTAGAATAATGAGCTGGTATAAGTTGTAAGAGCTAATACAAAGCCTGAGCTAATGGACCAATCAGTTTATCATTAACGCAGACTCTCTGTGTGATTTTTTGGGGACCTAAATGGTTGTGGGAACTGGGCAGGACAGAAACCCCAATGAGCAGGCCCTCATGTTACAGCTGATGTTAGGCTAGTTATGTAGGAAGCAGAAAATGCCTTGGAAGGGGCTAGCAAGGAAGGAAATAAGGGCTGGAGAAATGGTTCAGCAATTAAGAATACTTGCTTCTCGATCATGAGGACAGAGTTCAGATCCCAGTACCACGTCAGGCAGCTCACAAATACCTATAACTTCAGCTCCAAGAGATCCAACATGCCTTCCATCCTCTATGGGCGTCTACACATCGATATACACATACACTCACACACGCGCGCACACACACACATAAATAAAACACAATACATTTAAAACAATAGAAAGGACAGGGGACTCTAAATAAATAGCCTGTGTAATGCTCCAACACGGGCTGTCCACAGGAGCTAAGCCGGCATTCAGCCAGTGGCTCAGCAATGGCATCTTCTTCATACGGATGGAAGCCAAGTCTGCTAGCTTCCAATACCCTTGATGACTGTCTTAGGCTAAATAGCCTCCTGCATGTCATACTCTGCACTGAATCCATAGTGCAAACACTGTATGGTTCTAATTACACAGGCACTGATTCCAACAGCACGCCCTGACAGAACTTTTGTTTTTCTGTTTGGACACTGATTCCTCTGCTTGATTTATCCAAATTGCTCAAATCCTAGAGCATCAGAACTGGGCTGAAATCAGAGAAATAACACTAATGCTTGAGTCTGCCCTTGAAGAAAGTTGCTAGGAGACCAGAGCAACTTTGACTATCACATATTCCTAGAAAGTGCTAGAATAGAGATGGTGTGGGCATGTGAGAGGCTGGGAACACCAAGTCACAATGTATCTGACTTAGTATCTACAATACTCTGAGGTTTATAGCAAAGCACATGAAATCTGTTAGTGGAGAAATGAAGTCATAAAGTTCGCCCAAGGCTAAGGCTAAGACATGCTGAAACCAAGACTGCACAGAGGTCTGAAGATGCTACACACAGCCCAAGACTGTAGTGCTCTTCCCTGGCTGAGCCGCCCTGCAAGTTACATCAAGTTCCTTGTCCCCCATGGGATGGAACGTGAAGCTGAGCTGGAATGGCAGTTCTGCTGTTCTCCAACTACCTGCTACCTCCCGAAGTGCACAGAGGCCCGGCTCGGAAAGGAGTCCTGCCTGGCAGCAGTTTGCACGTTTGTCCTCACATCAGGCACTGAAATCGTGGCAAGAGGAACATCTAATCCCATCTGTTCATCAACAGCCCATCATGTGCAATTGCACGTGCATTGCCAAGGGCTCCACTCCTAGCCATCACTCTCTCAGACTCTAGAGGCCATGCGATCGCAGTACTCAAACCTAAGCCAGCCCTAAAGGGGAGAATTTGCTGCAGGGAGCCAATCCCAAACCTAAGGCTGCCTCTTTGCAAAGATCCTGTTCCCTTTGAGAGACACCACACAGCTGTGGTGACAATCATTAAAGCAAGCCCTTTTTCATTTTCCTGAAAGTTTGCACAGTGGGACTGAGTTGTGAGTTCACAGCACAGAGAGTCCACGGCTCTGTGGCTCTGGCACGTGCCACAGCTCCAGGGGCTGGGGCAAACCTCCCTCCTGGACAGGCTTCTGGGTCTAAGACTTGAATGAGAGAGAAAACAAGGGACTCAAGATTCCTTCTAAGTACTTAAGGAAAACTTTAATAACATTAACAACTATATGCAAATGGGTAACTCAAAAACTGTGTGCATCTTGTCCAAAGTCCAGGCAGGCCGAGCGTGAATCTTTATTTCCAGCTCGGGTTTAGAGGTGTATGTTCTGGAGTAGAACAGATGTGTCTGTGAGCTTTCTGTAGCTATGGGAAAACACTTGAGAAAATCCTCTACAGGAAGCAAAGTTGTGGCTCACCATTTTGGGGTTTCAGTCCATGGTCACCCTGTCCCATCTCTTCGGTCCTGAGACAAGGCAGGATGGAAAGCTAAGCTGCTCATCTCATGGCGACCAGGAAGCCAAGAAAGAGGCTGGGGACAAGACGAATCCCTGTGGTGGTGAAGATGGACTTTTGACTTGACAGGATCTAGAATCACCTAGGATACAAACCTCTGGGTCTGTCTGGGATGGCATTTGTAGCTCCCGTGAAGGGTTACCCGTGCCAGGGATGGCCTCGGTGATAAAGCTGCTCTTGAGTGGTCCCTGATCATGTAACCCTTCACCCATACTCCCGTAAGTAACTCCAGCAAACTTACTGTCTCATCAAAGTGAACTTTGGTGATATGACTGCTTTGGTCTGTCATCAGTTCCTATCTGAGATGAATAGACATTTGTGTCTCATCTCCTCAGAAAAAGTATTATATAACAGCATACACACTCTAAGTGTGGATAGCACCGTTCCATGAGCTGGAGTCACATAACAGTATACATGATCATACACTCTACACGTGGATAGAACCATTCCATGAGCTGGAGTCACGTAACAGTATACATGATCATACACTCTACACGTGGATTGCACAGTTCTGTAATATGAGAGGCCAGGCCTGCTTGTGTTTCTGTCCTGCCCGGTACCCCACAACTGTTTAGTCCAAAAGAAAATCACACAAAGATCTCTATAAGTTATAAAGCTGATTGGCCCATTAGCTATAGCCTCTCACTGGCTAACTTTCACTCCTTGATTAACCCATTTTTCTGATCTATGTTAGCCATGTGGCTCAGTACCTTTTTTCAGGGGGGCAGCTCACATCCTACTGCTTCTGTGGTCTGGGCAGGAGTGGGAAAAATCAACTTCCTCCTTCCCAGAATTCTCCTGTTCTCATTACATCATTTCTACTTCCTGTCTGCTTTTCCCGCCTATATTTC